ACGTCTCTCAGGCCGAGGGCGGCGAACAGGGCGATCCGTTGATGCCTGCGTTTTATTCCCTGGCGCAGCATCCTGCGCTTGCCGACCTGCAGAGCCAACTCCTCGATGGCGAGGCCATCTTCGCGTTCCTTGATGACGTCTACATAGTCGCGGCCCCCGAGCGCGTCCGCGCGCTCTACGACGCCCTTGCCGCCGCCCTGTGGCACCACGCGCGGATCCGACTCCATGAGGGCAAAACGCGCATCTGGAACGCCGCTGGTGAGGAGCCCGGCGGCATCGCAGACCTCAGCGGCGGTGATGGGGCAGCGCCCGTCTGGGTTGGGGACTGGTCTCTCCCGCCGGAACGCCAAGGGCTCACCGTGCTCGGATCCCCCCTCGGGCACGACGCCTTTGTCGCGAGGCACCTCGAGCAGAAACGCGAGGACCACGACCGGCTCCTCCAGCGCCTGCCCAGCCTCGACGACTTGCAGGCTGCCTGGCTTTTGCTCCAGTCCTGCGCCGCGCCGCGCGCAAACTATCTGCTGCGCATCTTGCCCCCCCACCTCACGGCCACGTATGCGGAAGCGCATGATGCAGCAGTCGCCCGCTGCCTGGCAACGCTCCTTGAGCACGGGGACGCCCCCCTGCCACCTCACAGCCTGAGCACCGCCCGGCTCGCGCAGCGGTTTGGGGGTCTTGGCCTCCGCTCTGCCACCTCCGACCGCTTCGCCGCGCATTGGGCCTCGTGGTGCGACACCTTGCCCGTCATCCATACCCGGGCCCCCGCTGCGTCTGCCCGACTGCTTGGCGCCCTCCAGGCCCCAGGCGACCGAGTCCTCCCCTGTGCCGCTGCCGCCGTCCTCACACAGACGCACTTGCGAGCGCTCGGTTGCGAAACTCCGGACTGGGCAGCCGTATGCACCGGCGCGGCCACTGCGCCCCTTCCCCAAGGCGGCGGAGACACCTCCCGTCACCCCGTGACCCCTGGCCCTTCAAGGGATGGCAGCGATTTGCTGCTCGCGCCTGCGACGCGCGTGCCTACGAGACGCACCTTCCTGACCTGCGTCTCGAGCGCTGCTGCTATCGCAGGCCGGGCCCTTTGCCGCCCGTGCCTTGAATGTCCTTCCCACTCGCGACGAGCTCTCCATCCCCAGCGCGCAGTACCGGGTTCTGCTGCTGCGCCGCCTGCGACTTCCCCTCCCGCTCGCGCCGCGCAGATGCCGCTGCCATGGGGAGCTTGACCCGCTCGGTGACCACCGCTCTGCCTGCGCCACCTCGGGGGTCCTGGCCACGCGTGCGCTGCCCCTTGAGCACGCCGTCGCGCGGGTCTGTCGTGAAGCCGGCGCCCGGGTGGCCCGACACGTCCGGCTTGCGGACATGAACCTCGATATGCCTGTCTCGGACGAGCGGCGCATAGAGGTTGTCGCCAATGGCCTGCCTTTGTGGCATGGCTCTCAGCTCGCCCTGGACGCCACCATCGTGTGCCCCCTCACGCGCCGCGGCGAGCCCCACCCGCGCGCAGACATCCAGCCAGGGTCCGCCGTCTCTGCCGCCGCCCGACGCAAGCGGCACCAGACATATCCAGAGCTCGAGCGCGCGCGGCGCTGCCGCCTGGTTGTTGTCGGGCTTGAGGTTGGCGGCAGGTTCGGCACCGAAGCTGTGCAACTCCTGCGCCTCCTCGCGCGACACCGGGCCTCCACCGTCCCAGCGCAGTTGAGGCCCTCTGCCATCGTTGCCTGGATCGCGCGCTGGTCTGGGCTCCTGGCAGTCGCATCCCAGCGCGCCTACGCTGCCTCGCTCCTCGAGTTGCCGCCTGCCGCTGAGCTCGGCGAGGGACCCCTGCCAGAGCTACACGAGGTCCTGGCAGACTCGAGGGATGACGCGTGACCAGCCGTAGGCCACCAGTAGACTCACGCCGACGGATGCTTGACCTCTTGCTTGGACGTAAAAAGGCGCGAGAAAAAAAAACCGCGCGTCTCCTTCGGGATTTGCTGCCCAAACGTATGCCAGATTGATGTAAAAATGGCCCGAAACATAAGCGTCCGCGAGGTCGGGTGGATTTTGAGGTCTCCGTGGCTGACAGCCAAAAATAGCGTCCACATTGGGGTTTCGTATCTTGTGATGTGTATTCTCTCTCGCGTGATGGGTAATTTTTTGCATGAGCGTCCACATTGGGGTGATGTGTATTTTCAGGGCCTGATGTGTGATAACCCCCTCCCTTGTACCAATCGGCAACGGCGGGCGCGTTGCAGTTCGGGGTGGGTGTCACGCCGTTTCCGCTGCGTCGCAGCGCGGATGGCCGTCAGCCCCTGGCCGCACCTCTCCGGCCCGAGTGAGAGGGGACACGAGCGCGGTGTCAACAGCTAACTGGGCCCCGTGCCACAATGTCAAGCCGTTGCAGACGATCTCGATGCGGCGGGCGTCGTGGACCGGCGTCAGCAGGTTCATGTCAGCCAACCGCACGTTGCGCGCGACGCGTGCCCCGGCCTCTTGGCAGACGCGGTATTCTGGCGCATGGGATCGCGAAGGTGTGACCGTTGGTCTTGCAAATTGTCCAGCTTGGCGTTTTCTTAGTGGTCCAACTTAATGGCACTTTCACCTGCAATGTCCATGCGATCGAACTTACTGTCCACATGCCATGCAGGCATCCTTGCATATCCTTGCTTCAGAAGATCTTGAGGTGCTACGCAATACCTCGGGACGTTTTGATGCATGAGTTGGGTGTTCTGGATCGCTTAGGTTTTGCGGTTGGCTGAAAACGAACACTCGTCCTGGTCGGCCAGCGTGCTGTGCAAAGAGCAGCAACTGGTTCGGGCGCAGGCCGCGCTCTGTTGACACGCTCGCCAGGCTGGCCTTTCCAACCAGCCGTGGGCGACGCGCTCTGCAGCGAACAGGCCCAGGCCCCAGGCCTCCCAAGCGCGCCGGCAAAGAACGCGATGTCCCGGGCGGCGACGTCCCCAGGATCGAGGCCACCCAACATCTCGAGGAGGGTGCACTAGACCTCATCGTCGTGTGAGCCTGCGTAGCCAGCGGCGAGCTCGGGCGGGACGTTTCGCAAGAAGTACTGCGCCCGCGGCGAAGCGCTGGACAGCAGGAGCAACCACGCGCCGTATTTGCTTAAGGCACCAACTCCGAGGGCCAGGAACGAGATACAGAAAATTGAAAAAGCAGTCCTGGTTGTAGCATCAGCTCCGAGACATCTGGACGTTCTGCAATTTCCATCATGCACGTAGTCTTTCAAGCACAAGACGTTGGCTGTTTTTTCTTAAGGCACCAACCCCGGAAGCGATAAACAACACCAGACCACAAGCGGAATTAGTTGAAGAGACGCAAGGCGCCGAACGGCAAACCAAAAAGAAAGCAAAACAATCATGCAGCCATGAGTGACGTGTTGGCAAGACTATCTAGGGAAAAGTGCATGGTCGCGCATCCCTGGTTCTCTCAACGCTCGTCCAGGTGTCGCAGGAACTCTCCTAATGCGCGAACCCATCCAGTGATACTCCAAGCATCATGCAGATTCCTGTCGACTGACCTCCGAGCATCAGGGCAGCCCCCGTCTGCACCGTTGCACATAAAGTATCTTCCAGGAGATTCCTGGAACATTGAGCAGCAGCCCCAAGAGCAGCATCCCGATCTCTGCCAACTCATGCACTGTCCCACTCGGCTTCGAGCAGCCCAGCCAGTGTTGAACAGGAGTGCCAATTTGCCCGCTCATGCGCGCGAACAGCAAAAAGGACCACGGTCACAGCGTGATAGTGCAAGTCAGCTTTGATCTGCTTGACAGAAAGGATTGAAGTTTCAATACCGAGCACTGGTATAGGGGGATCGGGCTGGCAATGTAGTGCAGTTCTCGCACTGCACACCTCCTTTGGAGAACACACGACGATGTTGCCGACTTTGACCCCGGACGCCGAGCCATGTTGCGGTCCCAGTCAGGCCCACATTCGGGGTTTTGGCTCAGTGCCATCCGGTGCACCCAGCTGCCGAGCTCACGCCGGACCTGGTGCACCTCTCCCCGGCGTTCTGCCTCTCCTTGCCTCCCCTGCCGGTTGCCCACGCCCGCACCACTTCGCGGCTTGCGGTCGGCCCGCTGTGCGACGGCGCCTTGATCGTCCTTTACGCGCGGCGAAACCCTGTGCTGTGACGCGACGCTCGTTTTCCCGCTTGTGGCAGACCCACCCGCGCGGCTCATCCTCATCCGACTGAGCGCGTGCCACCCGTCCTCCGAGCGGCTGCCGGCCAAGGTTGGGCGCGCCGGTGGTGGAGTGCGTTGCCTGCTGCCGTGCAGCGCGGCAACGTTCGGCGAACAGACAATGCGCCCCCTCCCAGGGCAGGTTGACACGCAGCCCCTGGCGACGGTGCTCGACCTCGCTGAGCACCCGGCGGGCTTCTTTGAGACGGCGGATTTGGCTGACAAAGGAGGGCGCAACAAAAACAATACGGCAAGCGTCGAGACTGACTTCGAGAACGATGTGCTGCTCTTCTCTTGAGATTTCGTGGCAAGTTCTCCTTTCGATGTCCTCTTGCGTTACTCCTTCAGCTGAAATGCACGATCCGCATTCTGTCTTCCGTGTACGGGCCGTCGCCAATCCTAATCCTGTTGGGGTTGTGTGAGAGGTCTTGTGCATGGCTGGGATGCTCGGCTGCCGGGGATGGTTTCGGATAGGCAGGGGCACCCAGTCTTGTCACACCCAGTGCCTTTAAAATGAGTCCGGTTGCAGTAGGCTAGGCCTCCGACCTTGATGATTGGCCGGTCTCGCGAGAAAAAATCTTCAAACGGCCCCGGGATTTTGCATAATGTTTGACAGGGCGAGCTTATATGACTGAATGTGACTGGGCCGCGGCCCGGGTTTTGGAAGACGCACCGCACGACATCCTTTTACGACCGGTCCGTGCTGTGCTCTGGGCTAGCTTGGGTTTGCTTGGTTTGCCGCTCACGCCGTATCCAAACACGTGAAATCATGTTTCGGGTGCCAAAATTCTGGGTTTCGTCGGTGCACAACCGCTGCCAGCCTGGCAAGGTGGCTTTGAATTAGCATTCCGAGCGGCGGCTGCTGAGGCGGCCATGTTGGCCCCGCAGTTTGCAGCATTGCGGCTGCAAGTTAATGCAAGTAAGTCAAGCAATCCGTGAAAACAGCTGATGCTTCGTTATGGCGGATGAGGTCATTTTAGCTTGTGCCGATGCGACGGGTCCAGCCAGTTGGTGGCAAGGCACGAGACAACTAGTATTGTGTTTCTTACCAGTGGTTTGTATTTTGTCAACCCAGTCTGCCTTGCTGTTTCTATCCCTTTTGCAGGTGCTCTTCGATTGGTTTCTTCAGCGCTATTTGCAGCCGCGCTGTTTTTAGTTGCTTCGCTGCCGCCGCGATGGCGATCTCCATCGGTTGTGGAGATCTCGGAAAGTTCCATGGCTTTACGTACAAATCACAGACAGTCACAGGTTGATTAGGTTTGTGGCTGTTGGCAGCACGTGCCGTGACGGTGGGTTGTATTCACACTGAGGCGTTTTGTTGGATGTCATTGCTTTTGCACCTTGGCCGATGTTTGCGAACTCTGGCTGGAGGTGGTTGGAGCCATTCGAGTGAGGAATTGGGAGGACCCTCCATCTGCGGGCTAAGGTCATGATCCTTCAAACTTTCCCATACTTACGCAACGATGGCATCTTTGCAGAACAAAGTTTCAGCGCCGGGCGTGCTTTGTGTTTCCGGGATCAAACTTCACGGTGTATGGCAGAGGCATGATGTACATACTGATGGCATTGGTGGTTGCCTGCTTTCTTTTCGTCAGCTTTCGGGAGCCTTGCATTGATTTACGCCATTTTCATTGTGCATGCACATGGTTTGTGCACAAATGTTTTGTTTTGTTTGCAGTGCAATTGTGCCAACGAAGGAGTCCAGGTCCGTCGTGGTGGAATTTGTCGAGCCAATCATGTGCCCTTGGTGAAGCAGCCGTGCAGCTGAACAGTTCCAGCTGTGTGCCGAAGGCCGCTTCTGGCGACCGAGTGTGCGCAACCACCTTCATCAAATGTTCGTGATTCGATTCGATGGAGTGCACATGGGATGATCGTCACTTGGCCACAAACCAGGAGCACGTGCTTTAGCCACCATGGGAGCTTGCATGGATGATGTGTTGTCATATCTTGCAGTGCCAGGCCTGCCTGCACTAAGTGATAGGATAGGCATGTTCGAAGAGCCAAGCAACAGAAGCAGAGCGATCCGTTTCAGCTTGCGAGGTTGTGAATTCATTGCTGATGTTCCAGCAGATGACACAGCAGCTTTGCATTCAATCCGCGCATGGTGCCCGGACGTTCTCATCATCATGAGCGTGTTTTGGCCGGGCAGGCACCACGTAGCGCAAAGTCGCACGTCGGCGACTGATGATCAATGGCGCCCACCAGAAGATGAGCTCCATGGCAGCAGACAGGTAGTGCATCGCGAATCCAGCAGGTTGGGGATGGTTCTGGACACTAGTGCCCAGGTCTTCCGACCACAGCCCGGGTTTTGGAAGGCAGGGCTGACGTGCAACAGCTTGTCTCCCCACAGGGGCCAGAGGCCTCTGTTGTTCCGGCGCGTTCCAGGTTTGAAGATAGCGACTACTTCGGCGGCTATGCAGGGGAAGAAGCGTCGAGAATGCCCTCGCAAGACGACTTGACACTTCGCTGGTAAGTAAGCTTCGATGATGATCTCTTTTACTAGGGCAACTAGGCAACTACACGCAACTAGGGTACGTGTCTTTCTTTTCTTTATTCTTTCAAGTTCTGGGGGATTGTGTCGGAGCCCTTTCTGGCCAGATCATGCGCTTTCCCACGCCGTGGCTTTGAGGATGTGGTCCGACCTATGGCCGGTGACGCTCGCATTGCGTTGGCGCTCAGAGGCTCCTGAGTTGTGGGAGTCAACCTGGGGTTGTTAGGCCTGGCTCTACAATTCGTTGCAATTCTTTCTTGAAGCGTCGGTTATACCTGTGCTTAGGTTGCAAGGCAGATCCTTTAGACTCCAGGAAGAAAGCCGCGCCAGCGTCCTCCAGTGTCCCAGCCTCCTCCTCCATACTCGCTCACCCTCAGCAGAGCGGGACATTAACAATTTGGTGTGGAAGCGATACCTAACCCCTAAAGCGATACCCTCAATGAATGTCCCAGTGGTGGCCTCTAGGTCTTGCCGCGCGCTCAGACTTTCAACCCTCGTTTGCCCCCCACCATACTACGAGCGTGCGCAATGCTCCGTGGATGCACAGAGGCTGGAAGGACGTGGCTCTTAGCCTAAGCAAGGTGTGCCTACCCCAGATGTAGGAAAAATAGAGGCGTGAGGTCGGGCCAGGATGCGGCCGCCAACGCTCCTAAGAGCTCCCAGCATGGAAACACGCTCCAGCGCGTTGCTTTGTTCAACTTTGTGGGACGCTGTACATGTAGACAATCCCAGTGGGATTTTGCATTCTCACGGTTCACAGAGAGAGGAAGAGAGCAGAGTCAAGAGGCATGCTTGCTGGGCCCAAGCCAAAGTCAGCAATGCTCCCAACCAGAAAGAACCCCGCTGCATGCAGCCCGAAGTAAGCCTCATCGTCATTGTCGTATCTGCTCCCAGAGATATCCTGAAGCACGCCTTAAGGCTTGAATCGCCCCACAGGGCGCCAAACGCCCGACAACCCCGCAATCGCACGACGAATCCCACTCTGGGCCGTGGCTATGGCGGGACAGCTGGAGAGTGATCTCCATGCAGCCTTCGAGGAGGGCTTTAAGGGCTCAGGGCTTCGGGGTTCTGGTGTTGGGGTTTCGGGTTTGGGGTCTTGTGGGTGTCCATCAAATGGCAATCTTTGGTTGGCATCAGTATCCTAATCATCAGCATCAGCAGCATCAGCAGCATCAGCAGCAGCATCTGCGCTCATTGCCAATGCTTTGTTTCATGCCAGGCTGGTGTATTGTTTTTGGTAGTCTTCGCGACCTCGATTATCGCAAGTCGTTGCGAAAGAGAAGAATATTGAAAGCTGCGGCTCGTGGTCTTTGATGTTGTTGCCAGGCGCTACGCTTGGAGATTGAGTGCTGCTTCGAAGGCTTGGCACCCTGTTGCTTTTCCGGATTTGCTTGATGGGTTCTACAAAGATGAGCAAGCAAGCAGTGCATCTATTTCAATGCATCGTGCTCGTGCCTTGCATGGAAACCACATGCACGAAGGCGTTCATGAGAAGATGACTCGCCTGCAGTCCGCAGTAACCGTGCAGGCCAGGACCATGACTCGTGATGTATGCTATCCACATCCAAACTGTGCTTTGTATACACCGAAAACCCTGTTCCTCTCAGGAGGTCCTTTATGCCAAGCCGAGCAAGAAAGTGGACGCGGAGTGTGAGGTCGGCTTTTTTGTCCCAGTGCGCTCCACCACAAGTCACTGCACTCCCAAAGTGGAAGCTTGCTTTCCTGAAGGTGGAGCCGGCCGCTGCGGGCGCGGGCCGGCCGCCCGCCATCCTCCTAGAGTACCGGAAGAGTCGGGTGGACCAGGCCTAGATCGACATTGCCGATTTACGAAGAGCTGAGACTCTCCATGGGGTGACTTCAGAGAAAACAATTCTGTAGCGCTAGGCGCATGCAGGATTTTCAGTGCGTGGGCCATACAAGTGCCATACAAGTGCCATACAGAAGGCATCCCATTGCAGAGCGATGCTGAATATCTCTGGGAGCTGTGCAGGAAGTCCTGATGCAAGACAATGTCTTCCGGCGCTATGCGGGCTTCATGGGGGCGATCAAGGTGGCACTGTAGTTTCAGTTTGCAGAAAGTCATCTGTGAGAGCTGAATCTTTGGTCGACCTCTGAAAGAGCTCAACCTGCCACCAACTTGAAAGGAGAAGGAGATGCGGCTGCATGGACGGTGGATGGAGCTGTCCACGTCTTCAGCCGGCGACGAGACGCTCAACAGGACCTGCTCAGTTGCCAGAAAGCATGCGAGTGGAGGGTTCCGCCCATTTCCCTTCCTTCCATTCCCCCCCCCACCCGGGAGGCAATCTCTGCTGAACAAGGGCGCGTCCCGACGAATCTCCGAGCATCCGGCCGGCCCAGTTTGAACTTGCGAAGGAGTTGGATGTGCTTGGGTGTCTCTTTGTATCAGGCGGCTGTGCTGAACACCGTCCTCCATCCTGGTGGCCTGTTCCGAGTTTCCTGGGACATCTTGAGTGGCTTCTTGCTGCTGCTCGGCCCTGGGAGATGCACGGATATCCAAGAAGGGCCAGGATGGGCTAAGGTCGGTTCGCAAATATGTCAATATATGTTCAGTGGGGGATATGTTCAGTGTGCAAACTCAGGCTGGTGGATGCCATTCTTGTGCCTCTGTCGATCGCCTGGAACTTCGACATCCGCAGCCCGGAGACTTCGCTTTCGAGTTGCCGGTGAGTCGTTTTGTGGTTCTCGTTGCAGTCTTGACAACCGGAGCAAGATGCTGGGCTCACAACAGCCATCGCGCAGGATTATGGCGGTGTGCTGCTGGCTGCGTTTTTCTGGTCGGGCCTTCTTTTCTGGGCACTTGCCACTCAGCACCGATGGGCTGATCCGTTCAGCACGTTCAGCATGAATGGAAAGCATTGCATGGCGAGCATCTAGAAAAGTCCTCCGCTGGGCGATGGTTGGCTAAAGAAAGGCTCGCTCCGCCGAAGATCGCATATGCTCTGAGCTGATGTCGTTGGGGTCAATTGGGCATCTCCTAACTTTGTAACCGTTTCGAATCTGTCATTGGGGTTGTCTTCTGCAAGCTGATCAAGCTCCAAACCCAGCTACCCCAGCCTGCACCGAGGACATTCCGCTCAATTTCAGCACGGCCGTGTATCTCGAGGGTAAGTTGGTGTCTGACAAGGCTGCCCTCCCTCCTTCCCGCCCCCTCTTTCCCTTCCCGGGGCTTGAAGGAAGGCGAATCATGTGCCACTTGTAGCAAGTGCAGCAAAGTGCAGCTCTGTGCCGATGGGTTGTCCTTTCCCGTTGTCTGGTTTTGGTATGTTTTTGTGTAGCGGTACGGGCCTGTAGCACACAGTTCCATTGTTCATTTCAAAGGCTTCAGAGCACAACAATGTTCGCTGCCAGGGCATTATAGCGTGCTACTACTTGCGACGATGGTTCCTGATGGACATTGGCAACCCGGCAGTGCTCAAACCTCTTAATACGGCTTACATAAGCTCCAGGCTCAGCCGGCTTAGCGCAGTGTCAAGGCGAGCGAGTGTTGGGCGTTTATCGGCTTCCCCCCATCCCCCGACATCGATATACATCGACGGAGGCATGCGAGGGTCAGGCCAGATTGGCCCAAAGCTACCCTGAAAGCTGGGCTCCTGGCTCTTATGGCACAGTGAGAGCAAGAGAGAGAGGGAGAGAGAGAGAGAGAGAGAGAGAGAGGGAGAGAGAGAGAGAGAGAAGTCGTCCTTCGGGACGACCCCTTCGGGGGTCAAGAGCTGTGGAAGGAAGGAAGGAAGGAAGAGAAAGCGAGAGAGAGCGAGAGAGAGAAGTACGAGACCCACACACTGGGCTTCCACGTGGATCGCGTCCTGGAGTTTGTCAGCTCAAGTCGAGGCGGCGAAGATCCATAGGCGGGAGGCGCCAGATGCACTGCGCCTTCAATGTGTTCGTGAGTTCAGTGGGGCATGCATCGATGGGAGCAATGATGAAGCTGGAGTTTTTCTTTCGGCAGCATCAGGGGCAGCAGACAACCAGCAGGCAGTTTTTACACTCGATTTCGTGGGCATTTTGCAATTTGGGTTTGGCGCCCGATTTGCAGAATTTTGAGCTGCATTACAAAGATGAAGCGAAGATGTGGATTCCGGGGCGTTCGGGTGGGCGAAGCCGCGCACCCGGGGCCGGGAGGGCAGCGAACAAAGCAGAGACAGGCCATAGAGAAACTTTTACATGTTTTGTTGGCCTTGATCATGGGAGATGAGGATGATTGGCAGAAGTCCCTAGGGGATGTGCTCAAAACCACGGCGGCGAAAGACTTCTTGCGCAGCCTTGCCACAGCACAGGAGGAGGGGGGGGGAGCAGGAGGCGGGGAACAAAGGCCATCGCACAGGCAAAGGAAAAGGGGGGGGGGACAGAAGCTCCGAGCCTCAGGGGACGGAGCAACCGCAAAAGACAGGAAGGGGCCGAGGACAGGACGCACAGCAGCCACAGCATCCGCAGAGGCAAGTCACTGCAACGGCGCCAAGCAAACAGCAGCAGGAGGAGGAGGAGGAGGAGGAGGAGGAGGAGGAGGAGGAGGAGGAGGAGGAGGAGGAGGAGGAGGAGGAGGAGGAGGAGGAGGAGGAGGAGGAGGAGGAGGAGGAGGAGGAGGAGGAGGAGGAGGAGGAGGAGGAGGAGGAGGAGGAGTGGCAGACACCGAAGCCTCGCAAAAAGCGCGGCCCCAAAGCGGCGGAGGTCTCCGGGGAACCCTCGGCTGCAGCTACCAAAGTTGAGGGCAAGCTCCGCGCAGAGGATTGGGACAGTCCGGTGCTGGACTATGACACTTTTGCAGGGGGAAGCAGGCGTACAGAGGACAAGCTCGTGGTGCAATGCGAGGAGAGCCAGCTTGAGGCTTTGAAACTCCTACTGCCGACCCTTGCCCCGAACACGTCAGTCAAGATCGTCTGGCCGTCCAGCCGAGGCACCAAGCAAGTTCCCTTCAAGAATACGGAGGGGCGGGTGGCGCTTCGCAAAGTGGAGGAGTGGATCAAGAGCGGAGGAGCTGGTAAGCCGAATCCGAAACTCAAGAAGGAGGGGGCCCCGGCGACGAAGCAAGCTGCTGAGACGGCCGTGGTGCGGGTTGTCATCGTCAAGGAGCTGGCGGAGTCGCCGGATTGGGCGCAGGCTATGGCGAACTCTAGGCGGCTTGTGACTTCGCTTCCTCAGTTGGGGCAGCAAGTACAGGATGCGTGGGGGTGGTCAAAGGAAAGCAGACTTCAAGGAGACGCTGTGGTTGGCCTGGTGCGAGTCCCCAAGGATATGGCACCAAGGCTGCTGAAGGCATCCGGGGAGCGTGGTATTTTCTTTGAGAACAAAGAGGCTAACAAAGACTTTGTGCCGCAGCGGGAGGCAAGGAACGAGGGTGAGACCCTCGCTGCGCAGCTTAAGAGGCTGCTAGCCGCAAAGCCCCCGCGTGGCTTGGTGGGCAGAGACAGCTTGGAATCCGCGTCCAGCTGAAGGATGGCGAGAAGTTTCGCAGACAGAGGCTGCTTGAAGCTACGGGCCTGGATACTACGGCGGAATTCATCCGCCAGGTTGTGGAAGAGCAAACGGATCTGGAGGAGGTGGAAGTTGTGGCAAGAAGAGTTCGCAAACAGCGGGCTTTCTGGACTTTGCGAGCAAAGGGACCAAAGGACATGGACTTCGGCCTGGTGCAGGTCAGTGGTGGGTGCAGCCGCATGCCACCAGAGGGCAAGCAGAGCGATATTGGGAACCGCTCCAGCGGAGCGGTGGTTTCCAGTATGGCAGGGAGAAGTTCAGGGTGGAGCGAGCAGCCCAGGCTGTTCAGGAGGTGGCGGCCGGTGCCTCCGGGGAAGCTCGCGAGGATAGCGCAGCAAGGCGTCGGGCGGTTCAGAAGCGCATCATCCCAGATGGGGTGGAACGCCGGCCTGTTGACAGGGACGGCAACTGCGTCTTTACCAGCATTGCGGAGGGGGTGGCTGCCATTAGAAACAAGCCAAAGGCTATGTCGGCCAGCGGAGCACCCAGGCGCCGCCATGAAGCAGTTTTGCAATTTCCGGCAGGGGAAGCCGTCGCGCGCTTCGCAGGCGTGCATGGCGGCAGCCAGAGCAAAGCAAATGCTCGGCATCAAGGAGGGCAAGCTGGCGCATCATGGAAGGATTGAGTTCGTGACCTTGCCGAATTCCAAGCAGGGGAAAGGCCTCATCACCCTCCTCTTGTGCAGAAAGTGTGCCCGGCTGGGATCAATGAACGATCTCGCAAAGGCGGAGTGCGCGCCGTTGCCGGCGGCTGCGGGCAAGAGGGCCCGCAAGCTGGAACGATACAAGCAGTTGCTGGAAGAGGACCACACGGCGGAGGAGGCAAAGCGGGGCATCAAAGTGGTGCTGGAGGCCATGGACGTGGTCAGGCGCCAGGATGGGAGCCGCGTGGAGGACCAGGCGGAGGAGCCATCGGCCTCGACCGCCAAGAACCACGTTTACCAGTAAGTGGTGTGGCCGGAGGGGCCGACTGTTCGGCTCATGTGTGAGGGGTGCCGCCGACTCTTCACCGAGCACAGAAGCAGCAAGTACGAGGGCGTCGTCAAGTGGACATCGCACAGGCAGGGCTACCGCACCAAGCTGCTGAACATGGTCCATAGCAAGACACATGAAGTGCAGATGGCAGCGCGCAGGCTCCGGCAGGACCTTCAGCTGGGTCCCATTCCGGATCCATGAGGGGCCGGGATGAGGTGGTGGTGGGGACGGCAAACGTCAATGGCTTGGGAGGGAGCATGGCTCAGCTGATGGACTGGGCTGTCAATAGGCGGGTGGATGTGGTTGCAGTTCAAGAGACCAAGCTCAGCGCGGACAACTGGCGCACGGTCAGCAATGCGGCTAAAGCCTCTGGATATGTTCTTCACGCTGGCACTCAAGGAGTCGATGCGCAACACAGGCCAAAGGCTGGCACGGTCATACTTTCCAGATGGCCAACAGAGGCGATCCAGGGACAAGTCGTGAAGGCTCACCATCCTGGCTGTCGTCCTTTTCTACTTGTCAACATATACTCGCATAGTGGAAACCAGCATGCGGCGGCCGAAATGTTGCAAAAGGTCATGGACTGGCTGGCGAGCACAGGCGAGACTGCAATGATCATCGGCGACTTCAACTTGGAGGCTAACCAATCGCCAATTGCAGGCGCAAGAATGACGGGACGATGGTATGATGTCGACGAGCTCGTGCTTGGCGACCAACGCCAGAAAGGCACCAGGAGGGTGTGGCAGACCGGTGAGTACACAGGCAGGGTCATCGACTATGCCTTGGTCACACCGGAGCTTTATCCAGTGCATAGGATACAGGACAAAGGAGTTGCAGACCATAATTTTGTGTCTTACAATATTTTGGTTGCCGCGGCGGACAGCAGCAGAGGCCGAAAGTGTTTTCCAGCACCGCGCAGGGCACTCAGTGAGGAGGAGGTTACAGATGCAGAATGGGCCCGCCGTTGGGGGCCACGCGAGGAGGACTTCAGGGCTCATCTCTTGGCGGGCGACCTCACAGAAGCGTGGAACATTCTCAGCAACACTGCTGAAGAGGCTATGGCAAAGGAGGGGGGTAGAGGTGCGAAGCGCAGCGAGGCTCTGATTCCTCGGGTTCCAGGCAGCCTTGTTTCCACAAAGGCCCCCACGGTTCAAGGACTCAGAGAGCGGCAGCTGCGTCGGCTTCTACGGCGCATTGCAGAGCTTCGGTCAAAACCCACTTTGCGGCTGTCGCAGAAGGTTTGGAGAAGTATCCGTGATCTTGGCCTCCTGGCGGCAACCAGTCTGGAAGAGGCGGAGGAGTTGGCTTTCTCGGAGGCCATAAACTTGGCGGAGGAGTCGGCCAAGACTCGCATCAGCAAATGGAAGGAGGAGGTCAGAGAAAACAAGAGCAGGCTTGAGCGATGGATCAAGCAGCAATGGGAGGAAGGTCCGATGGCAAAGGACTTGGAGTCGTCACCTCATCCGGCCGACCGCTTGCAGCAGGAGGCAGAGGTCTGGAGACAGCAGTGGATGGAGGAGCCTCCCCATCATGCACAGAGCTTGCAGCGCTTTGGGGCCGGATGCTCAGCCGCTCAGCAACGAGGCGGTGGCCCTTAGTGGCAAGGAGGTGTGGCAGAGATTGAGGGCGTCGAAGCGCAAGGCTGGCGGAGCAGACTCCTGGTCCCCCGAGGTTCTTCTTCGTTGACCCATGAACTTCTTCGCGGAGGTAGCAGAACTCTTCAACACGATGCTGAGGCATGGCAAGGTCCCGAGGGCCTGGCTAGAGGTTAGGGTGGTGCTGCTGCCAAAAGGAGGAGGAGACTACCGTCCCATTAGTTTGGCTTCGGCTCTTTGGCGAGCCGCTCTGGCGCGGTGGCCCGCAAGTTGAGGGTATGGATGCAGAAGTGGGCCCCGGAAGAGCTGACTGGAGGCATCCCCGGCAAGGGCATCTCGGACGCCCATGACCTCCTCGGGGCGGCGCTTCAAAGCAATGCAGCTGTCACCGGCTGCAAAGCTGATATCCGCCGCTGCTTTGACTCGGTCTCTCCTACGGCGGCTATCCGAGCGTGGCGTTATCTGGGTGCTCCTAGTTCTCTTCTGAGTGTTTTGGAAGCGTTCTACAAGGGGCAACAACGATGGATCACCTACGGTGGGTACTGGCAACAGACACCAATCCAGCCACGCACTGGATTGCTACAAGGCTGCCCATTATCCACAGGACTCCTCAACGGGGTCATGGCGGTGTGGGTGGGCCATGTCCGCGTGCGAGCACCAAGGGGTTTGGCTCTGTACTTGGACGACAGAGCAATGTGGAGCTTGCAGAAAGGCTCCTTGGCCCGTGAGGAGCTGAAGTCCGCCGTTGAAGCAGGGCGAGGAGTCGACGAGGCTGCGGGCCTCCGTCCGCACCCCGGCAAGGCGGCATCCTTCTCCTCCACAAGTGCAGGTCGTGCTACTCTTCGACATCACCCCGACTTAGGTGAGGTCCTCACGGAGTTTCCTTTGTTGGGAGTTGGGGGTACAGTACTTGCTGGGCACGCGCAAGCGATGCAAGAACTCTGTTCTGGAATTTAAAGAAGGGCTTGGAGAATCCGCAAAGCAGTGAAAGGCCTGGCGTTGCGAAGGACTTTGATACAAACAATGGTGGTGGCTCTCTTCGCTTGGACGGGCCCGTACCACACCTACGCTCGCCAGACGCTGGACAAGTGGGCCTCGTTAACAGAACATGCAATCTGGACACGCAGACCTCCCCGAGGCAGGTCAGCCTACCTCTCGTGGTGTGGAGTCTGCACGCCTCGGCTGCGCCCGGACTTCGCCTTAAACTGGGCGGCCGTCAGGGAGCAGCGCAACGCGCAGGGCAAAGGACGACGGATGCAACCGTCAAAGCGATGGGCAGAGCTGGCCAAATGTTGGGGCTGGCAGTGGCTGGAAGGAGGCGACTGGCTCATTACCAATGGGCAATGTGTGCGTCCGGGCTGGACCGGCCTGGGGTGGATTCGACACCTGGCGGAAGAGGCATGGCGGCAGTGGATGTGGAATCGTGACACAAAGACCGAGTACATTGGTCTGTCAGTTGCACCGGTTCAACACTTTCTGAAGCATGCCGCCGAAATCGGGGAGGGCTACCGCAACCGTGTTATGGTAGGAGCAGCAGTGGATGGGCGGATGCTGGCAGAACGGGGCGTCTCCTTTCAGTGTGAATGTGGCTTGGAGGCTCCGAGCAGACACCGCTTGACTTTTACGTGCCCGTTCCTGGCGTGCATGAGGGAGGCAGCCCAATGGAGCAGCGAATCCTACTTCGGCTGGCTGCAGCTCCCGCGGCAGTCCAGTGGCATGAAGTCGACCTCAACGGCAACCTCATGGATGCCTTGAGAGAGTTTCAGCGGGCTACGTGGGCAGTCGCCGTCCATGAGGGGCCGGCTTGTGGGGGCACGACGACCTTCGGCGAGCAGGCGGCACCAGCTGGTGAGAGAGAGGCACTCTTTCAGCTTCTTCGCCATGCTCACCACGCTGGGGTACGCAGACTTACCATCTACTGTGATTGCAAGGCAGTCATCGTTCGACATGGCAGAGTTTGCGGAGGGCACGTGCAGGGCACAGTCGAGGCGATGTGGCGGAGCATCAAGGGACTCACGCCAGACGCCGCCACTATGGGACTGGCGACCCGACGGAGGGCCTTTAACGGCTGCTCAGGCCAGGGCACTCAATCAGAGGGCGGACGACAAGGCTTCGGAGCTCCTGGAGGCGGACCGTGCTGGCGTCGAGGAGGGCTTGCGGCATCGTGCTGCTCTGGCCGACTGGAGCCGCAGGATGGTCGCAAGGCAGATGGAGGCAACCAAGGATTTGCATTCCAGATGGTGCGAGCTCATGGCGGAGGAGTTCTTTGCTCCCGAGGCCGGACGTTCCCGGCCGGGGCAACTAGAACGGGCTGGAGGGCGGCGTCTATCAAAGATGGGCTGGGGCGTCGCTTCAGCTTCATCCTCATGGTGGCGTTCAACCAGATTTCAGATTTCAGACCCACACACTGGTGCGATCCTGTTGCAACTCAGAATGGAGATCCACTGCAGTCGTCCTCAATAACCTCACCAGCTCCGGAAGACAACTGAAAAGGAACCATAACTGCAAACCAAACGAAGACGAACCGGCAAGCAACAACCGAAAACCTACCTCGACCTCGTCGACAAGACCCGGGAGCCCATCAACGACGTGAACGACGACCTCCCCCACACCATGATCGACAACGACGTCCACAACAACGAGAACGACCGGGGCAGCAACAACGACCCTCAGACACCCAACAAACTCAGCCGAGCAAAAGAAGAAGGACGGATGAAGGTCACAATTTGGGAGAGGATCACGAACCACAACAAGGAGACCAAGTGGAATACGCAGAAGGCCACGGAGACGAGGAAACAACGGGCACCGCACAACAACTCGAGGGGAAAGAGTTGACAGAAGACCACAGCAACGGCGGACCAGAATAAGCAGAAGAAGAAGAAGAAGAAGGAGAAGGAGAAGAAGAAGATGAAAAAGAAGAAGAGAGAGCGGGAGAGAGAGAGAGAGAGACAGAGAGCCAGAGAGCCAGAGAGAGAGAGAGAGAGAGAGAGAGAGAGAGAGAGAGAGAGAGAGAGAGAGAGAGAGAGAGAGAGAGAGAAACAGAGCAGCGGGCCAGCGCGGCCGGGGTCCTCCTCGGGGGGCCTCTTCGCTGGGTAGAAGAAGAAGAAGAGAAAGAGAGGGGCTACGAAAACCGTAGTAAGCCCCTCATTCCAACAGACCTTCGGACTTGCGCGCCCCTGGGGGCGGCACTCTCCTTCGGGAGGGGGCCATGCGTGCGGGAGAGAGAGAGAGAGAGAGAGAGAGAGAGAGAGAGAGAGACCGCGGGCCTTCCGAACAAACTGACCCTTGGACTTCACGCGCCCCTCGGGGCGGCCTTCCTTTCGGGGGGGGCTATGCGTGCAGGAGAGAGAGAGAGAGAGAGAGAGTGAGAGAGAGAGAGAGAGAGAGAGGGAGACCTTGTCTTCTGAGCGGCCTGCCAACCGGGGCGGGCGACGACGCCCGGAAGTTCGCCTCGCCGCGAAAGAAAGCACAACCTGACTCCCTGTGAGCTATGCGGGTGGAGATTGAATGCAGGTGGAGAGAAACCAAAGCCAAACCATAAACTCAATCCAGGTCTGCTCAGCCTCGACATTGGCAGCGTCTTCGGGGCATTTCTGTGCCCTGCCCGCAAGTCCACAACCGCACCGACTTACAGCAAGCCTTACGGACGGAGGGTAGGGGTCGTGCGATTCTTCCGAGCGGCATACCCAGCCTGTCATTCAGTTTTTAACGTTTGGCACGCTGGGGCTCTGCACCAAACACACTACGCCACCTTTTTGTCGGTTCGTCCCGAGCTCGCACAGTGCGAGTCCTCGCACTGATAGAATTCCTTGTAGCTAGGACGCCCTGCAAGTGTTGTGCCCCATGGCTTTGGACAGGGGCTCGAGCCATACGCGCTGGATGCGTGCTGTGCGGGCTGTGCGCCTTCTGCGGCTTCTCAAGGCAGGGCTTGACTTGGCTGGGTTTGTGTATTGTAAGATGAAGGTCGCTCGCTGCGGGTTCGAACGGGTGGGCTTGCTTGCAGGTTAGACTTCTTGGACCATATATGATGTGTGTATCACCACGGCTGGCATGGGAATGCCTGACCTGATTGGCATTGTTGTAGTGACCGTGGGCTTTCTTCGTCGGCCCGAAGATATGTAGGCGACATCTGCGAACATCTGAGCGGTGCAAAGACGAGCATTGTCTGCATCTTACCGGTGCCGACACAACATCGGAGGAGCAGAAGCACTGAATTCCTCGAAGGCACACGAAAAGACCACTGTAAGTGCCGTAAATTGACCTCTTCGGATGAGAGGCGCAGAAAAGGCGCGCAAACATGGTTCTGCGATTCTGTTGTCTTTTGTTTTGTTATATATTCATTGTGCCTTTCTTTCCTCTCTTTGCTCTTTCGTCGGCTTTCTTTTTGTGACCAGCCGTGACTTGCCCACCTTTGGGCACAGCTGCTCACAGCTGCAGTGACCTCCCCAGTAGGCTCTGCAGTCCTTCCTCCCGCGTTCAGTGTTGTCTTCTCCTCTTCCTTGGAGGTGCGCCGGCTAAAGGACATCGTCGAGGCGCTGACTGTGGAAGAGGGACTTGCTGCAGAATGTCAGTGGAAGCTGGCACAGGGTAGAGCGCTGTTTGATTAGCGCACCTGACATGAACGAGGGGGCAAAAGGCCACCCTGAGCCTCCCATTGCTTTGCCACCTAAGCGGGCTTTCGTCAACTTTGAGCTTGAAATTGGAGAGGAGCTCGTGGCCTACACTGGCCGCCAGTCCATCCTCTTCGTTGCAGCTGCTCGGTTGTCCATCCAGATTCTCCAGATTCTCCAGGTTCTCTTGAAACTCGGAACTATCCATAAAGGTGGTGGTTAGTGCAGAGCTTGCAGTGCACACCTGTTCAATCAGCAATTGGCAGCTCCTAAATCTCTTAAATGCCGACATGCTAGAAGTCGGCACGAGTCGCACCCTCCGCCATCATTCAAGCTCGATTTTTCTGGGCAGAGAGAGCTGCAGTCCACCACCGCGAGATCACCGTTTGTTTTCAGTGTCCCGTCATCTCGGTAGCCTTAGTTTCAAAAGTGCTGCAGGAAGTTGCCCGATGGCAGAATCTGCTGGCCAAAGTTGGTTTTCAGTGGGCCCGTTTGTCTAGGTAAAGAAGTTCGTTCTTTGGAGATGGTTGATAATGTAGAAGGCATTTGACAGGCCCTTGCTGTAGCTGTATGGCGAGCATGAGGATCGTGTGTCGTAGGCTGGCAGTTCATGCTTGCCGTTGGGTTGGCAGTTGCAAGATGATGTAGAGGGAATGGGCAACTTGTAAGGAAAACCTCCTTGCCCCTTTTGGGAAACAAGTACGGGGGGGAGTGGCATTTGTAAAGGGGTGCGAGAGGATTGGTTCAAGCCCAGCTTTGCGAGGCAATCCTCAACACCGCTGTCCTGATCACATTGACATCCCACTTTCTCACCTGCACGTGGCATCTCAGCCGCACTGCTGAACGCCTGAAGCCGTGAGTGTTCCATGTGCCTACAGGGGTTGCAACTTTGTGTGATCAGGGCCTTGGTCTTGCTGACTCGTCCAAGAACTTGCTGCTGCAAAGCGAAAAAGGTGGCATATTCTTCGAAGCTCGAATCAGGATACTCACATCCTTCCAGGTGTTTAGTCCCGTCGTGCCTATCTATACACACTGGCCGACATCCCGCAACCGCTTGCTATGCCTTTGCGTCTCACGCTTCATCTAGTTTTGTGCATCGTGGGCCCTCGACCATCGACAGCACTGCCATGCACTGCCTAAATGCCAAGATCTTGAGCCTGAAGCCATCCAGCCGCAGAGGTACTTCATCGGGCGTGTCTCCCAAACCGAGGGACAGCTGTCGTGGCTGGAAATCGCGAATGCGGTGGATCTCGCCGGCTTTAATCAGCTCCTTGCCGTCATCGGTTGATTGCAGGTTGCATTATCATCGAGGACAACCATTGGCCGGGGATTGTACGGATTGTTGTGGGCTTAGCTCGGTTTCCAGCAACTTAGAAGGTTGGTGTTATGGCGGTTATGGCTTGAATGACCTTTTTGCTTCTTTCAAGCCCTTGGCTCGTAGCCTTGACGTGGATTGGGGATCGTCATGGAGGCTTGCAAGGGCCAAGCTGCCATCAAGGGACAAAGGGAGGGACTCTTTTTAGGGACCTTAGGGGTTCTTTAGGAACTTTACTAGGGGTCCCTCCTTTCACCCTTCTTAATGCCAGGTACATGCACTCTCTTCGCTACGTGATCAATGCTCCAGCACCACCACGTGTGGCTCCCGATAACTCTGAAGAGTTGTTCGTGGACATCTGCATCAACATCCTTGCCCTCATGGTCCTGGGTACAGCTGTGTCCAAGATATCCAGCACCTCGCCTCTTCAATATCTTGCCTTGCGTTGGCAGTTGCAATTGTGTGGGCGGGCATGGCAGCGTCGCATGCGTGTAGCGTCCTGGAGCCAGGTTTGTTAAGCATGTGGGCTCGTTGCAAGGCCTACAGCATCGACGCTGCTAACTTTCACCAGGGTCTAGATTTGCCACTCGCTCGTTTGGGGTTTGGGTACCTGGCGAATAGAACAGAACGGAGGAGCTGGTAACCAGCAACGCACATGCATCGAGGAGACATAAAATTTATCTAAAAGGATCCCGGGGGGCCGGGCCCCCTGCCCGCTGATCAAGAAGATTCTTGGGCAGTGTTGCTCATGTCTTGGCAGCGGCTCCTTGCCAAAGTCGACACGCGCCCCATGCACCTCACGCAACATCCCTTGTCATCAACACACTGCCTCCTTCAGCATGTCACGAAAGCTAGCTCCTTGGAGCTCGCGAGAGTTGTCGTTTACAAGAATTCTCTCTAGTGTTCAGCTGGGTCAAGAAGCGACTCCGACCCTTAAGTGGTCTGAAAATCAAAGAGATAAAGGGCTGTGGAGGGGGGGGGGGCCCCCCTCCCCCCCCTTATAGGATTGACAAAATCAATCTTAAGGTGTCCCCCCCCCCCCCCCCTCCTTTCAGGGTCGCCTTAATTGATTTCTGGGGAGGGGGGGGGGCCCCCCCTTTTTGTTTTGGGCCCCCCCCCCACCCCTTTTCAGGCTTCCCCCTCCGTCTTGGTCAGGCCCTGCTGTCGAGCTGTAAGGCCCCGGGATGAGCATTCGAATCCGCAGCTTCCGACAGCTCTTAGTGCGACCGCTGCGTGTCCCATCCTTTCGTTTTTCTTACAGTTCAGAGTTTGCAGCGTTGTTTTGTGATCCCCTTGGGTCTGGTGCAGATCATAGCCGCATTTCTAGCTTTCGTGGCCCCGATCTCAAGTTTTGTCTGTGTACTCATGAAAAATACCGATTGTACTATGTTGCGCCAAATGCCTGCTGATCCTGGTGCCAGCAAGGCACTTTGATCGAGCTCCGAGCTATGAATGAGGTGGGAGATCGCCAGCGCCGGGAAATTCGGCTCTATTTGACACGGCAAAACACCCCGTTCGAGCTCATCACTCGGATCATGAAGCTCATGGCCAGAAAGCTTGGGAGTATGTTTGGTTGAGTCAGTCTATCATAAGGCAGCAAGAACAGACAAACCACTCCAAAGCCGAAACGGCCAAGGTTCGTGGACTACCGGCTGGACAAGGTATCGGCCATTAGCTTCGACGATGGGCTGATTTCCAAGACGTTGCAGCAAGAGCTTTACATCAGCCAGCGTGGGACCTTCCTCGAACAGATTCCCATATTGTCTTTGTGCCAAGCCGTGTTCCCCGAAGTCTTTGCCGAGATCTGCGCCATGCTCGAAAGGCACGTCTTCGAAAGAAAGGAGAGTGTCTTTACTGCCAACTCCTGGGCCTCCCGGATGGACATCACCACGAGTGGAACTTACAGCTTGATCGGGGACGGGCGGATGCCGCAACTGGTGAATGGCGTGAAGTGGTTTTCTGAGGCCTGCCTCTTCCTTGAAGGCGGGAGGGAGAAGGAGCAACACTGCAAGTGCTGGCATGTGCTGGCCACCGCTGTGTTGTGAAGCCGACCATAGTCCTCACCTTATATATAATCGTTCGGTCGCATCGAAACGGATCTCGAAGCCTCAACAGCCCTCAAAAGCCCTCAAAAAATCTCAAAAGCCTGCGAACCTCCGAATTTCTGTGTCGTCAGGCCTCCTGCACGAGGGCGCTTTAATTGCCAAGTCCTTTGGGGAGACCTTCTCATTGGAAGGGGACAGCCTGGTCCGGTGCCTGAAGAATTCGCCAGGATGCAGCCGCATGTATATCGACCCTTGCAAGGATTGAGGGCTTCTCTTTTTATCTCAGTTTTTGTGCTGTGGAGTGTGGAGCCATATGTGCCAAGGAATACGCCAAAGATTTCCTGGCCTTCATGCAGCAGAGCGAGGAGCCCTATGCGCAGGACCTGGGTTCCTACGGCTCTGCGGTTTTCGGTTCGTGCCAGCTGTGTGTTGTGCAGATGTGGTGTTGGAGAACCAGCATCTGAACTCCCAATTTTCCCAGAGTAGGGAACCAGAGCCACCCAGAACTATGGACCGATCAGGAGACCCAGATCCAAGCAGGGGAACATGCCTGCGTGCGCCGCTCGGCCACGGTGGTACAGTAGCCCCTCAAAGCTGCAGTATACGTACGTCACAAGATGCACCAAGCTGCGAGGATCTCGCAGGGAGGAGTAGTGGACGTTGACTGGCGTTCGTCGTTTGCCATAAGCTGAGGCAATGTGATTTTCCAAGAGTTGTATCCTGACCCGCGTACGCTTTTCATCAACATCGACATCTGGGAACTATACCGGGGTGCTAGCGATGACGAGGATGAAGAGGAGGAGGAGAGCGAATTAGATCTGAGCACTTTCGAAGACTGTCCAAAAGGATCTAAGATCGCGACGCGGCGACGCGTAGCTGTCGCGCTGGCTGACCATGCAGGAGCCCATTGGAGAAGCCCAAACTTCATCGATGCGGTCTGCCTTTCGCCGCTCCCTTTTTGCGGAGGAGGAGGAGCCAGAGCAGGCCCCTGGGGATCTGAAATCTCCTCGTTGCTGAGGCTGAGAAGCAAAGGCACGCATACTTAGTCGGAAGGTCGTGGTGCTTGCTGTTAGCCAGGAGCAGAAGACGAGCTGGCTGGTGAGGCGCACTGGGGGTTCACTCTGTTCCTGGGTCTCTGCCTGCACGTGTGCGCACGCATGCACAGACGCAGACATGCATGCGCCCGCACATGCGCTCATGCACGGTATGCGCGTACACATGCGTGCGCACATGCACGCGCACATGCACATGCACATGCACATGCACATGCACATGCACATGCACATGCACACGCACACGCACACGCACACGCATATGCATGCGCAAACGTGCGTGCCTGCACGTGCTTGTGTGCACATGCAAACGCACGCGCGCGTGTGACCGCGCACGTGCGCTTGCGCGCGCGTTCACGGGCACGGGCGCACACACACACACACACACATTGTGACACAAGAAGTTCTCGAACCAAGCGCCTGGACTGCAATCCTCGGAAGCAAACTGTGCCAATTAGGTCAGTCAAGGCTATGCAGTCTCTGCCGGCCCTTTGCCATTGATTGTTGAACCAAAGAGAACTGAAAGCACATTGCAATCGAAGAACTTGCGAGCTTCGAAATCTCCGAAATCGCCAAATACCGCGAGGCGCCAGAACACCGTTCAGGACCTCATGAATTCACGGCAGCGTGGCGGTCAAAAGTAAGGGCAGAACTCGCGTGTTAGGATAGTAGGGTGTAAGTCAGCCAACACGATTCAGAAAAGATCAGTGTGGTGCAGGCAGGGGTTCCGTTTGCTCATGGCTTCTGATCGCTCATTTTCAAGCATGCTTCAACGAATGAGGGCTGCACTCATACTACGCTACCAAGTAGCCGCTCTTGGCTGAGGAATTCCAACAAGTCTGTTGCGAAGGCCGACCCCAACCAGTGGCTGTGTTGTGTTGTGCTTTTCGATTTGCTTTCGGCGGGGTGTTTCTCATAGTCCCGCCTTTCAGAGCAGAACTATAAGTTTAGACATGCTTTCCTGAAGCAACAGGAGGGTGCGCATGGCTGCTGATGCTGTTGACTTGTTGCTGTGTGCAAGGTGTGGAGACCCCCAGGTACCTCAGCACCTGCCTATCGCGCATCCGTAGCGGCTGCTCTCCAAAACTAGGTCACTAGGTTGTTGTGAGCCTCTGCCTAAAAACACGTGGCTTTTGTCGTGGGGGATAGAGGCCTTTGCTCGGGGTACGTTTCCTCAACCAGCCCCCCCCCTTCCCCCGGTGCCTAGAGGCAAGGAGCTGCAAGACGTTCGGCTTGGAGCTGCTTGTCAAGGAGGTGCCCTCTGCAGTTCAGGGTCTGGGTACTAGGCGACGTTGTCTGCTGTCAGAGACACGAGAGCTTGGGGTGAAGTCGCAGAAGGCCCGTTGCACAAGGCCCAAAGAAGGGCACACACTGCGGTTGAGATCTGTTCAGGCTCCTGGGGTGTGCAGGGGTGAAGTTCTCCCTACACCCGTACACAGCACAGATTTGAATCTGAATCCGCCGCCGTCGCCTCGAGTGCAGGGCAACTGCCACCCCAAACTTTTGCCATGTGCAGGTTATGGGGTCGGCGATCTCCTTCGCAGATGGCGAGCTCAAGCATCGCCTGCTCACCTCCATCCCGGAGCCTTATGGGGCTTAGGATGTCTTAGGCATTTTCATGTTGGTGGGCTTCGGAAGTTCCTCCGGCGCAGTTCCATGTGCCGGTGAGGAGCTGGATTCCGCTTTCGGACCCCATATCCTCTTCGAGCAGGCGGGCTGTGGGCCTGTCGGGGTCGTCGCCTCCTCGAAGCCTGAATCCCATTTGACCGTAGTGGCCGCAGAAACTACCAGGCGGAGGAGAGCCACGCAGAGTAGCCAAAAGGCACTCGTTTCCAGAGCACTGCAAGGAACAAATTTATGTCCACTGGATACGATGGCGATGGAGTAGTCTCACGATTGCTCTGAAAGCACGGAGAAGGTGCACAAGACCAAGGTGGGAGCATTAATGTCCCGAGAACGGAATCATGAGGTGACCCCATCCGGCCCCTCCCTACCCTAAAACCCCCAATCGCCTACACGCAAGATCCAGGACGCCGGGTTTGATTGGGATCACGGCTCAGGGTCTGTCAGATGCCGCTTGGGGTCCTAGGTTCATTTTACACCATGTCATTCGGGATGTCACGCTTTGACAGCAGTATATAGTTGATTTCGCTCGCGCAGTTGCTTCCCGCGGTTCGTTGCTGAGTTTCATGTTGAGTGCAGCGATCCAGCGCGATCTTTGCGCAGAGCGATGGGTCCTGCCACCCCAACCGCAAGGCGGATGAGCGAGATCGTGCAGAATCCTCCTGCCTCAGCACCCTCGCGCTCCTTGGCCCAAATACTACATGCTGGGGCCATCCGAGGGATGACAGGGTGCTGTGACTTCGGGCAGTAAGCATCCTGAAGCTGCATGACTTTGGCTTCAAGGCCCTTTACGATAAAACGGGTTTCAAGTGCAAACTAAAACTCGAGAAGAGAGCGGGGACAGCAGCGGGAGCAGGGAAGCGAAGCCATTTGGAAACCTTAAGTTAACCCCTACAAGATAGACCGCGCTGGAAGGCTTGTGGGTGGCCACTACGAGGCCTTCACAAAACCCCAAGCCGCGGAGGAGACCAGGGCTTTGGGATTCGGGGTCAGGCAGAGCCGCAGAGCCTCTGAGGTTTTTGGAAATGCACAGGAGAGACACAAGTCCGTGAACGACCAAGGGTCAGCGAGCCAGATCTCAGGTTGAAACCTCACGAGCACATAATCATGTCGCGCACCAACGCACCACTCGGATCAAGGGTATGTGCAGCGTGGCAAAGTCTCTTGCCGCAGACTCACATCTCACACCACAGCAGCAAGAAAGGCAACGTTGTGCACGAGACAGTGAGAAGCACTTGCCTTGCTGTCTTTTGGTGTCGCCCTAGGTTGTATGGGCTTGACTGTAGGGGGACATAGTGTCGGGTTATATGGCTAGGACTGTTGTCCGATGGATGTGATTCAGAGTGTCTGAGGAGCTGCTTCTCCCCTCGCAGTGGGAAGAGCTTCAGGCGTTGGGGGGGGGGGGAGGCTACATAGCTGTTCGCCAGTTTTTGCCATTCATTTCGGACCTGGCAACTCATGCAAGAGCTTATGTTTTCCCCCTTGCCTGCCGACTACTTGGAGGGATTTCTGAGTTTTTCGGGCTTTGGGTCGTCCCAATCCGCTTGTCCTTCGGGCGATTCCTTGTCCGGGCGTTTTGATTCGCGAAGCGCCGGAGCTCAAGGCATGAAGTCAGGCGGCAGGCGGCAAGCTGTCTGAGACTTCTTCCGACGTCAGCAAAATAACTCCAAGCTCAAAGCTTAAGTTATCGCACAAGTGGTCGCCCAAGGGTGTGGCATCCCTGGCACCTGGATTGTTTGCCTGGATGCTGTGTCCGAGTATGTGCTGCATGTCCTGGAGGCCATTGTGCGCTGGATTGCCCCGACGCCAGAACAGGCTGGGCTGGGGACGACTGTTGAGATTTGTTCATGTGCATGATCAGCAAGATCCAGATCTGCAAGCCACACGGGCTGTCTGCTGTTCTGCCTCTGCCAGCACGTGAGGCGGCGGCGGCGGCCTGCAATCTGTAGACGCAAAGCACCGTTGCAACAATCCCCTAAGCCCGGAACCCCGAGAAACACGAGCAGGTGCACGGTGCTTTGGTGCTGCTGGCCATCCGGGCCTTGTGTAAGTCGAAGATGGCGACTTGAGTGCAAGCAGCCTCGAAACTCCGCTTATGTTGTCACGTAGTGGTTCACAGGGAGGGGTGCTTGGATGCGAAGCCTCTGCCCAGGTACTCCGACAGGTGCCCTCAGAATGCACACACCCGGAGCGGACGCTGCCGCTTGTGGGCACACTTGGGTGCAACGGGTCCTTTTGATGGTCATGCCCGTGGAGGCGTTGCGTTCAGTAGGCATGTGACTTGCACCAGAGCTTTTCTCGAAGTGTGCCGTCGAGGCCTGATCTGAACATGCTATGTCCTAGGGGACGCAATGGATATCAAGACCGCGGCAAAACCTTGCTGAGCAAAGCTTTTCTGGATTAAGCACTGTTGTTAAGGCTGTACCTCATCGACCACGAGAGATGCGTCGTGCCTTCGGCGACTCGACAGCAGATGACATGCTGTGTGCTGTTGCAATTCGAGCTGCGAGCAGGGCACTATGCCATAGTTTTGAGTCGCGCTTGGTCTGCGGTGCTGCCCATCACTTGACCAATGGGCGCTGTACTGATGATGACTTTCACGTCGCAAACGCGTGCATGGCAGCCAACTTCCGACTGGATCCAGCTGCTATGAGGTTACTTTCTTGAGCGACGACGCTATGGGCTTTGTGAAAAATGCCCTGGAAATTCACGAGCAGTTCAACCTTGCGCAGCAACTGAGCTCTAAATCTGATTGGGATGTGGCTTAGAGCTTCATTGGGTTGGAACGTTGAACTTTAGCGGGAGAGTCGTGTCATCGCAAGTACAAGCTCCAGTTCTGGCATGGATCGCCTGATGCTAAGGATGCTTCAGGGCGAGAACGTCCCCGGCAGCGTGATGGGCTTGCAGCTTGGCTCGGGTGAACCTTCCGCTCGACGAAAGCGGCTAAGCCTTGGGATTTCCATGGGCCTCCCTTGCTTCGGCATTTTTTGTGTGGGAAAAGCTGAGGCAGAACATAATCCATGACCGTGGCGAGGACAGTTGAAGAGCAAATGGAAGGCTTGCAGAAGGAAGTGTTCTTCGCGCCTTCGGGTGAAGAGTGCGGGTCATGATTTGGCAGAGATTTTTCTTCGGTGATGCGTCTGTTCGCAGGAAGTCCTCCGGTTCTACATCCTCTTCCTCCTGGGCTTCATGGCCGGCCTCCATGCCGGGCAGGGCTCGAAGCCCCTCGGGCGCATTTGTCATCTTGAGGCCTTGAGTGAAGCACAGGGGGTGTTCGAGCCCCCGAAGAGCAACATGAGCCTTGAAGAAGCGCGGAGGTTCATGACCAGCAAGAATGCGGAGACGACCATTGCAGGCTGCAGCTCCGGTTCTGACACACGCCCAAAGTGCCTTTTTTGTGACGGAGAGACCGTGGTTTCAGGTGACATAAAGAAGCTATTTCCATGGGGACAGCATCACATTCACGACTTTCACGACTTTGGACAGGTTTCTCATACCAAACGACCAGACTAGATGTTCAGAGAGGGACGAGACAAGCACTCGACGTGCTGCGCAATTTTCTTGGCAAGGCAGCCTGAGATGACCAGTCCCCACAATCTTTCCCAAAATCGTAGTAGTAGTAGTAGTAGTAGTAGTAGTAGTAGTAGTAGTAGTAGTAGTAGTAGTAGTAGTAGTAGTAGTAGTAGTAGTAGTAGTAGTAGTAGT